CTCTATCTCTACATATATATATATATATATATATATATATATATATATATATAAATACCTTGAAGTTATTTTAGTTTTTGCTTCTTGTCAAGGAAACATTTATCATTTTCATTTAGTTTAACTTGATGTACTAAAATAACAAATTAAAATGAAATAAATATTAATAAGTAAACAAATATTAATACACATAAGTATTAAAACAACTAAAATTATGCAATTTTTACTAGTAAAAATGCAATTTGACCAACTAAGGTATCTGCAATTTTATTCTGACTAGTCAATTACATTTTTTAAAGTAAGAATTATTGCATTTTACTAGTCCAAATTGATTTGCAGATATTGTGAATAGAATTACGGTTAGTAAAAAATAAAATGTTGGAATTTTTAGACAAAGTACATTTTAGATACCTGCCGTTAAATTATTACTAGTCAAAATTGCCTTACAGATAACTAAAATATTAAATTTTGACTAAGCAATACCCGTCTTAGATATCTGTAAAGCAATTTTTAGTCATTATTCATATGGAAAGTATCTACAATGTAATTTTGACTAGTAAATATTCTAACATTTATTGTTATAATAAAAATGACAAAACCCAAAACTTTTCAATTAAAATAAAAACCGAAAAAATAAAAAATTCAAAATAATAATAAAACTACAACAGTATCAGTGATATTAAATGAACACTGACTGTAACATACACAGCACACAGTGTAAATACACTTTTTCAAATTTTCTATATGTCCCATTCATTTATAACGTGTTTTTGTAAGTGTGTTTTTTGGGTGAATTGATTTCTTTATTCCTCTGTTTGCACCTTGCCCTCTGAGCCGAGAGCCTCTTGTCTCCAGTGGAGGCCTGCCGCTGGATCTCTCCATGTGAGTGAGTGTCCCTCCCGTCTGCCCGGTCCTCTATCTCTTCACTGTGACTGCGGTCGGAGGAGAAACTCAGGTTGGATGGGGTGGCCAGGTGCTCTGTGCTGCTGTACACCTACAAAATTATGGATAATAAATGTCAGAGAGGAAAAATGGCCACCCTACAGAAAAAACCTGGCACTGACCAGGGTTATTATAGTTAACTAAAATAAAAAATATATATACATTTTCGTTACTTGAAATAAAACGTTTTTTTATATTTTATTTCAGTTCACGTTTATTTCAGCTAAAAGGTTAAACACTACTAAAAATAAAAACACAAAATTACTAACTAAAATTAAAATGGAAAATATATAAACTTATTGAGACACTATTAGAGTTTTTTTTTAATATTTTGAATATTCAAATAACACTGGCACTGACGCTTGTTATGGTGTTACGCTTTTTTCTCTTTATGTTTAGCTGGTCGATACAACAGGGGTCTTGGTTTTTTAAAAACCTATTTAAAAGCAAAAGTTTAATTACAGATGCCACTGACGTTATTATAGAAATACTCTATTCACAGGCGTGAATGTGTCATCCATGATTATTTACTAGGTAAAATCCTTACGTGGAATATATATATTTTTTGTGTGTGTGGAATGCATTTAATACTGCAGCACACACTTATAATAAACAGAATGTTTTTGTGCATTGGTGTGGATGCTAATAGTTATCTTCATATTTAAATAAATATAACTTGGTGTGAACAGGCCTTAAATTTGAGGTCAATGAAAGCCTGTTTCAATCTCAGAACAGAAAAAAAAAAAGTGAGAAAGTTGCGATTGTTATACGTAATAATGACAATATATAAAGTGTGATGATGGCTGTTCTAAAAAAACAAAAAAAAATTCAATATTATGTGTGCGACAGCAAAAAGGACCCAACCTTGCTGAAACGATTTGACCAAGAGGAAAACCGTCGTATTTCAAGGGAAGACTCTTCATCATTGGTTTCATCATCCTCATCAGAAGCCAAATGATGGTAGCGTTCAGATCGAGCTATGCAGAAAAAGAACAAAAAGGATTTAGGGGGTAATAGGTAAGTACAATGAAGACATCATAACTGTATCTCAGTGCATAAGCCGCAAGAATAAGCTGACATTTCCAGAGCGCTTCGCTCCAGGCATTTATGAAGCTCTCAGAATCTCCTCCCTGTGCTGAATTAGTGAGACTCACTGTCAAAATAACTAGTGTCGTCTTCGGCCTCCAGCTGAGGGATGAATTCAGCTTTCTGACGCAGGAGTCCGTTCCAGTCCAGACCGCTGAAGAACATATGCTGCTTTACTTCTGAAGCCCCACCTACAAACATGTGAATTCATCACAACTGTCCACAGCTCTACACAAAGCTGTTGTATGAACAATGTTTGAAGTAGATCTAATCCTAAACATTTATTTTGAACTTAAATGGGTCATATCATATATTTTCTGTCATTTCTTTTCACTTGAGGGGATATTAATTAGTGTTTCATACAATCTTAATTATATTTTTCATGACCTTTTTTGGCCATTTCTGGCCCTTTGCAGAAGCAAAAAATGTCTCATTTCAATTCAGTGGAACAAAAGTGTCTTCACGAATGATATAAAATTAGTCACAAAATAAAAATATTTCTAATAATTAAAAAATACAAATGCTATATAATTTCTAAAAAAAAAAAAAAAATAAATAATAATAATAATAATTATTTATAAAAACTCAAAATAAAATATAGATATTAAGTTTTTTATTAAAATGTAATTCTGTAATTAAAGTAATTTTATAAAAATTAAAAATATATATAATTTATGAAAATTGAAAAAAAAAAATATATATATAATTTATAAAAATTCCAAAATAAAAATTGCACAATTTTTAAATAATATACATTTAAAAATATAATTATATGAAAATTCAAAAATTATATATAATTTATAAAAATTCATATTTAGAAACAGCTAAATAAATTTGTTGAATCAGTTGTTGAAATTCATCTTTGTTTCAATATATGCAATATCAGTTTGTTTGAATATGACAATAAAAAAAATCAAGGTAAACTTGATTTCTCATCATATGACCCTTTAAAAAATTAACTATACTCGGGTAACATAACTATACTAAAAAGGTTTATACTAAATTCCTATTGACTACAAATGAATGACAAAGCACCTCTTCCAAGCCTCTCCTGTGGGTTTTGGTTCAGTAATCGTGTGATCAAGTCCTGGGCGTCTACAGGAAGGGCATCATCTCCATCTGGCCAGATAATCTCATCTGCATAAGGAACACAGTGTTATCAAATCTTTTTACAGCAGTTTCATTTTAAGCCAGTTGGTAAAGCTTCCTGATCCTTTTAAAGGTATCTGTGTCCTAACAGCTGACAGGAGAGTTTAAAACACATTAATCTAAACTCACCACTGACAACCTGCCCAAAAAGCTCTTCCGTTGTGTCTCCAAAGAACGGCACACATCCCACCAGAAACTCGTACAGGATGATACCCATGGCCCACCAGTCGACAGGCTTCCCGTAGCCCTGCCGCAAGATCACTTCTGGAGCGATGTACTCCGGGGTGCCACAAACCTGTGAATACAACAAATAAAACAACACAAAACACAGATAGATTCTATATTAATATCAATAACATTTCTTGAAAATTAGCATAAATTGTACCCAAGGATTATTGTGCTCTTGCCCACCTGCTTATCGATAAACTCCCTAGTGTCTTTCTCAATATGGCCCTCGTACAGATTTGTTGTCATGTTCATGAGGCCGATTTTGGAGAGCCCGAAGTCAGTCAGTTTAATATGTCCCATTGAAGTAATCAAGAGGCTGTGAAGGGTTAACAGATCAGGTTAACAACAGTTACACTGACATACAGTTGCATAAATGAGGTTTGCAGTTCTTTTCCCACTTGTCTGGTTTGAGATCTCTGTGCACAATGCCGTAACTGTGCAGGTACTCCAGCGCCAGAACCGTCTCCGCAAAGTACATCCTGGTCATATCCACAGGAAGTGGACCCATGTTCTTTAGCAGAGTGGCACAGTCACCACCTGGAAATCATATTAGCCCAGACATATTTATACATGCAAATGTTACATACATTTACATTATACATGTTTTAATAATAATTTATAAATTCAATATAAACTATGAGAAATTATATTTCTAATAACAATAAATTATTACTACAAATATTTTCTATTATACATATATATACACTGCTACACACACAGTGTTCCAAATTATTATGTATGTGACACATCAGACAAATCAAGTGACATATTTTAGTAAAATTATTATTTGTTTTCATAGAAAGTGTTTGTTTGTTTTATTTCTCATATCTTTTTAGATAACTGGTATCAATCCCAGGCAGGTTTGTTAAAAAGTAAATCACTCGCATATGTGACTAAATTTTCATGCTGGGCAACTAAATGTCTATTATTAGCCATTGGTTAATAAATTGTTAGATTTTACTCACCAGTGTCTGTTGAAGGCGAAGTATAAGTTTAGCACAGATATATTTTCACTCGTCTTTAATACGCTGACTAATCACTTGAGAGTTTCGCTCTCCATCTTTAAAGCATACTATATTCCTATTGATAAAGGATTTGCAGACAAATGAATTATTCAGCCTTTAAGAACAAGCCTGTTTCTTCAGCAGTGGGCGGAACTAATACGCAGCGGCTGGCGCTCACCTATTACTGACCCTGTTTTGATTTCAGCAAATCAGTTCCAACGAATGCAGAGAACGTGATTAATATTCATGAACCCAGCAGCTCACCAGGCGCGTTTTATATTGTTATTAGTAGTAGTATCATCACGTCAGTATTATTGTTCGTTTTTTTATTTACAGAAAAACTGAATGACCAACAAGCACCACCAACATTCTGTTAAAATGACAAGTCTGGCAAGTAAACTAAAAAAGCCAATGCGATTCTATTGCCAAGCAGGGTGGCCATTCACCAACCATCTAGAAATCCATCCAGAGTAGCACGGCATTCGTCAGCGAATAAAACAAAAAATTGTCTTCATGTACTTCTCCACCCATAGTAAAAGTTTCTCTTCGTAAGCTTTGACTATGCACTTAAAAGATACAAGTTAACAAGCTTCGTCTGAGTTTTGCTGAGTTGAAATGTTCAGTGCCTTACCTTCCACGTACTCCATGACCATGCACAGGTGTCGGCGGGTCTCGAAGGAGCAGAACATGCTGACCACAAAGGGATTCTCTGCAAACGTCAGGATGTCTCGCTCCACAAACACCTGCTGGATCTGGTTCCGCAGAATCAGGTTTTGTCGGTTGATTTTTTTCATTGCAAAACGTTGTCGAGTTTCTTTATGCCTTACCAGATACACAGCCCTGCGGGACAAATGGAGAACATAGCAGTAGGATGCTTGGGTAACGTTCTAGGAGCTTCCTGACCTTGAAGACATGGAGCATGATTCTTGAGTAAAACATGTTGCACAATTTTAGTGGTTACCAAATAAGTTGGGATTGTTAAATTCTGTCATCATTTACTCCCCGTCAAGTTTTTCCAGAAGATATTTTGAAGAATGTTGGTGACCAAACCACTTCTGGTCCCAATTAGGCATGGGCCGATTACCGGTTTCAAGGTATACCGCGATTTGAATATTTCACAGTTTCAAAAACACTAATATTTTCCATTATACCGTTGCTGCGGTATGCGCTGTTTTTCATGTCTCCTCAAAGACTGAAAGTGTAGGAATCCCTAAGGTTGAGTGCAGTGTAGAGAGTAACACGACCCTCCTCCTCCTGTTGGTGCGAGCGAGCAGTCCAGTCAGTCACGTGTGTGTAGGATGGCCGAAATAAGGAGCTTTCCCTGGAACTTACGCGATCAGCAATCGGCCGTTTTTTGTCTTATTGCAACTCGTCTCTGTTCTGGACTTGCACAAACTGCATTGCAATGCAATCATTTTCCAAAATGTAATTTATGGGAAAATATGAAGTCTGTAAACGCCCGTTATCACATGCCAGAGATGTTGAAGACGGACGCACAGAGAAAAATACTGTAGCAGGCAGATCACTCACTGTTCATGATTTTTATTTTTGGGTCAGCCCCGCCACATGCTCGCGTCATGGTACTGTCGTGAACACGCATCCAAAGTGACGCAGTAGAGACGAAAATGTGGAATTAAGTTGTTATTTTTGTTTTGTTCTGAGGGGAACTATCTTCAGAAAAGTTTACGTGGTCTTTTCTTTTCATCTCGTCTCTGTATAGTTCACATTAAAACAGTGTTTCAGTGCAGTGCTGCTTTGTTTACAGCGGTAACCAGAATTAAGTCGTTATTTTTGTTTTCTTTGCGCAAAAAAGTATTTTTGTAGCTTCGTAACTTTACAGTTGAACCACTGATGTCACACGGACTACTTTATCGATCATCTTGGTACTTTTCTGGACCTTGAACGTGGTAGTTACCTTGCTGTCTATGGGAGGGTCAGAGAGCCCTCAT